ACCTGAACTCATCTGGTATAATTTATTCGCTTGCATTTCACATACCAGGCGGGGGACTGTGGTGATTCATTAGCTGAGATTCTGCAATGAAGCACTTAGCACCTAACAGGGCTCCACAGTCTTAGCTAGACCCCACTCTCTCTCCTCTCTCTCTTTCTCTCTCTCTCATTGGTACTGGGGTTTGAATTCAGGGCCTCATGTTTGTTTGCACTATCTCCCAGCCCAAGATCCCATCTGAAAGAAAGAATGAGATTAGTCTTCGAATGTCTGGATCAGCGATTCTGCATCCAGATGCAGTGGTATCCTGCTCAGTGTGGGTGGCATCTTCCAGTTGGGACTAAATAGAACAAAAGGCAGAGGAAGGAGAAACATGCCCTTTTCCCTGCCCCACTGACTGGCATTTGGACAGTTGGCTCTCCCAGTTCTCAGTCTTGAGGGGACTTGGACTGATTTACATCACTGGCCTCCCAGTCTCCACTGGCAGATGGCAGATTAGGGGACTCCTCAGCCTCCATCTCAGTTTCTCATAACAAACAAACCATGGTGCACCCTGTAATCCCAGCACTGGGGAGGCTGAGGCAGGAAGATCACAAGTTAGAGACCAGCCTAGGATACATGGCAAGATCCTGTCTCAAAAATAAAATGAGCTCATGCCTGTAATCCTAGCTATTGAGGAGGCAGAGATCAGGAGGATCTCCATTTGAAGCCAGCCCAGGAAAATAGTTCACGAGTCCCTATCTCAAAAATACACACTAGAAAAAATGGATGGGAGTTTAAAAGGAAACCAGGCCTAAATTTTTAGGTTGCCTTATTTTACCACCATTTATTGGAGTTCGGAGTTTTAGGCTTTTTCAGAACATTTTTTTTTTCTGACCTATTCTGGAGTAATTTTTCCTCAGCACACCACCAATGGAGCCCTTCCAAACGTTTACCCCAACCTTGACAGCAGAATCTTTTCAGATGGCCTACGAAAAAAATTCCCCAAGAGATTCAGCAGGCTCTCATCCAGAAACCTTGATAAGGGACCTTCACAACTTGACCCTCAACCCTCCTCCCAGGTTCCCTTCCCCTCTCCCAGAAGGTCCAGCCCAAGTACCAGACAGAAGCGAAAGGAAAGGGTCCTACAGGAGACCAGAGGTGACACTCCCTATAGGCAGAGAGGAGTCCGACCTTGTTATCTGCAAGGAGAGAACGCCTGGCCAAGATGAGAGCTCTCCTGAGCAACAGATACTCCCGGGTTCTAAGAGAAAAGCTGAGAGATGGGATTAAAGGAGTTCAGAGTGAATCATTCAGCGTGCAGTTCCAATGCACCTGCAGTTACTGCCTGTACCATAGCTGGGATCCTTCTGAGAATGCTAGACTAGGGAGTGATTATGACAGAGTAGAATCAATTTAGGCTTAAATCTCTCTCTCTCTCTCTCTCTCTCTCTCTCTCTCTTCTCTCTCTCTCTCTCGGTGGGACTTGGGAGTTTGAACTTAGGCATAAATCTAAATTTATCAGTTTTCCTGCTGGTAATTTAATGAGCATATTGAAAGCTACATACCACTAATTTTGAATAACTGATGTATATGATATGACCTTGTTATCTTTTATCTTTTATTTTCACTCCCTCTATGATTAATTTATAAGGGAATTGTGTAATTTGTATATGAATGACTTTAAAATACTTTAGTTCTACATTTTGATTTGAACCAAGAAGCACCCATAGGTCTCAAGTGTTTGTTTTAGAAGCCTAAAGTCTGTGAAATGAAATATAACAATATAACCTGAAGGGGTATGAGGAGAACATGGCGTGGTCTGGTTAGAGTGTAATAATTTGGGTAGGTAACTATATTTTCTCATTTTCAAATATCCGGGTTGCCATAAAAGGAATTCTGATGTTATTTTAATTTTCAGTACCAAATAAATATGTATATAAAGGAACTTGTTAAAATTGAAAAAAAAGAAAAAATGGCTGGCAGAGTGGTTCAAGTGGTAGACCACCTAACTAGCAAGACTGAGACCCTAAATGCAAGCCTCAGTACTGCCAAAAAAAAAAAAAAAAAAAAAAAACGAACCAATTCCTTCTAATAAGTCTTACATATATGTGTGTATTACATATACAAATATACATACATTTATACATAGGTGTATAAATTTTTATCTAGATGGATACATACATAGATTTCTTATTAGTTCTGTTCCTCTGGAAACCCAAATGCACTAGGGCCGCACTAGAACTCTGTCACAGTAGTAACTAACTGAACTCGAGGGTCAAATGAATTTCTCAGATGTTTATCTTTCTTGCATGTCCTACACAGAGTAGGCAGGAGACCAGCCTGTCAGAAAGAAAGGAAGCAAAGGAGGGAAGGAGGGAGGGAGAAGGAGAGAAAGAAAGGAAGCATGCCTTGTTGGATTCTGCCTCTCATCCTGGTTCATCACCATTTCTGGGGGCCACTGGTTCTCTATTTAGCTGGTCCTCTATTCAGTGTGGCACCTGCCTTTTTGATAAGTCTGCCTTGTCTCTGCTGGTATTGATTCTGATGTAGAAACGTTAACTGTGGCAGGTGACAGAGCTCCCTCCAGATAGGACAAGGCTTCCTTTTCCTTTATTGCCAGAACCCCCATTTTTATCAGGGGTTCTGATGAATATACAGCTAGAATACTCATGTCCTAGCTTCTTTTGCACTGCAGGTTGGTCATGTGACACAGTGTCAGTAAAGGCCCAGATATGTCCCTGGCATAGATGTCTTCTCTGAGAATCAAAAAAGCAAAACCTCTGGGAAACAGGTTCTGCCCTTTTCTCTTCCTTCCTGTAATTCTGGTATTTTTTCATTTCATCCTCATGTTTGGTGGGCAGGGCAGGCCTCATCCCTCTTGACTGTGTTTGATCCCTACACAGTACAACAGTACAAGGTCCTTGTTCATGACAAGCACATACTCTACTACTGAGCTACATCCCTAGTCCTGACCCTTTTTTTTGGCAGTTCTGGAGTTTGAACTCAGGACCTCATGCTTGCTAGGCAGGTGCTCTGCCACTTGAGCCACTCCACCAGCCCTGTTTTGTGTTAGGTATGTTTCAAGATAGGGTCTCTCCAACTATTTGCCCGGGCTGGCTTCAAACAGAAATCCTCCTGATCTCTGTCTCCAGAGTAGCTAGGATTACAAGTGTGAGTCCCTGTCACCCAGCTTCTAGCCTTCTTTTATGAACAAGAAAATGAATTTTCCAGACGAGATGCAAGTTGACTTTCTAGGGTTGCAGGACTCAGAAAGCTCCTGCATGAAAACTGAAGTAGCAAACTCACACCATTGCAATTAACTTGCCTTAAGTTTCCACTTTTGGCTGGGCTGCCAGGAAGCTCACAGCTTCATATAAAATTCAGTTGTAGCTAGGATTAACCTTTAACATGTATGCCTTGCTGCCTCCTCCTTTCCCTTGAACCATTGCTTGTTATGAGGCTTAAGATTGCAATGCTTTTTTTTTTTTTTGATGGAACTGGGATTTGAACTCAGGCATTCAAACTTGCAAAGCAGTTGCTCTACTGCTCAAGCCACACCTCCAGTCCATTTTAGTCTGGTTATTTTGGAGATAGGGTCTCATGAACTATTTCCCTGGGCTGACCTCAAAACCATGACCCTCCCGATCTCAGGCTCCCAAATAACTAGTATTACAGGTGTGAACTACCATGCCCAATGAGATTGCAACGCTTTCTTGCGAGCCACCTCACGTCCTCTTTTTGGAAAGATGGGGTGGGTAATTTTGCTGGGTTTTTTGTTTTGGCCTCTCCAGATCTTTCTGCTCTGCTCTGTGCTGGGCAGCTGGAGACAACAGGAGTGAGTCTCTGGCTTCTAACTGGGTTTGGCCAACAGGGAGCACCAGTAAGAAGGAGAAAGGTCACAAGTCCCCTAGTCAGAGCCTCATTCAAGGAGTGCAGCCCCAGTGCAGCCCAGTAAGCACTCCCTCCCTTCCAGCCTCAGGCCTCAGGCATTTGAGGTCACTACAATTAGCCCAGGGCACTGTCCTGTCTTGCTGTTTACTCTACCTGCCCACAGCTTTATAAATTGTCCCTTTACCAAATTCTCCTCAAATTACTCAATTCAGGTGTTCCCTGCCAAGGCCCTGGACATGGAGGATACATTGTTAAATGACCTCCTTGTGGTCTCTGAACACTGTGTGCCCTCTCTCCAACCACCACTCCTGTCAGCAGAGCCCAGCTGTCTCATCACCTCCTGCCTGCTACTTTCAGCCACCTTCGCATCAGGCTCCGTGCCTCTGCCCAGCAACAGCTCCCCCTCCCACTGATCCTCCATACTAGAGGGGGCCCTAGGCTGAGCTCCAGACAGGTGTAGGGAGCAAGTGCATGGGGACCTCTTGTTCTTGTTTGCTAGGTGCACTGTGACCTGCCTACCTCAGAAAGGAGAACTTAGGGCTGTGAGCAGGGAAATGTCATATGAGGTGACAGAGCAATGGGCTGGGTGAAGTGACAGCTGTGCACAGGACATTACAAAGAACGGAGGAGATCCACCAGCTCAGCCTGGCTGGGAGTGCTCCTAGGGTCAGGTCTGAGCTAGATCCCCCATCCCTGAGCAAAGATCAGCACAGAGGGTGCTGGCGGTCACTGATGCTACTGCAGGGGGACAGAGTCAGCAGCAGGGAACACAGAAAGGAGATGGGCAGGAGCTGGGGTGAACCCACTGCCGACCAACAAGAGGCCTGGACTCCAAACTATAGGCAGCACAAGTGTGTTATGGCTGCACAGCAGAGTAGGCTGGAGGCTAAGAGGGGCTGGAGCAGAACCTTGAATGGGGGGCCTCACCCCAGTCACCTCTTCCCGTTTGAGCTTCCTAGGGTTTCAAGTTATAGCCCTACAGGTGTGTACGGGATTAAAACAACCTGGCTCCTCCAACACTTCCTTCTCCCCATCTTCCCTGATGCCATCTTCCCCACACACAACGCAATCATGAGGACACACAGCATTCAGCCAAGGCGGGAGCACCCCCTTATCTCCCCCATATCACACCCCTAAACAACCTCCATTGGATCTGTGTGTTATTTTTATTTTCTTTGCTTTGGTCTATACAAAAAAAACCAATAACCAAAAACATAAAGCGATAATAATAAAACTCTCCGCTGGGACCCCCGTCTGTCCCTCCGATACCCATGTGCTGCGGGTGGTAGGGAGGTCAGAAACAGGAAGGGGAAGAAAAGCCCCTCACCGCACACCAGAGGGGTCAGCAAGAGCACTTCTGCAAGTAAGCGGGGACAGTATGGGGCAGGGTGAGAGGGAGCTGTCTCCAGAGCTCCCCTGGGAAGAGCCAAAGTCAATTTAGCATCCTGGAGAGAAGTGGCCAGTCTCCTAGAGCAGGGGACTTGCTCTCCACAGCTCTGCCCGGTTCCCCCTGGAAGGTCCCTGAACTTGTCGAGAAAAGCTTTGGTTGTCAGAGGTTTGGGGCTTCCACCTGGGTCCTAGAGACCCTGGGGGCTCAGGTTGGTGGGGTTCAGTGAGAAAAATCACACCAGGAGAAGGAACCGGATCCAGGCAGCTGGAGGTGGGTGGACAGGGTGGGTCACTGGAAGGGGGACACAGGCGGGCAGTTGAGTCTAAAGCTTTAGTGGCCAGGGTCATGGGGGTGGGGAGGGGGTGTCAAGCCCTGGACCCATAGCCCAGGACAGAAAAGCAAGAGCATAACACCATCCCAAGAAACCCTACAGAGGACCTCTGGAGGCACGGGCTTCAGCAGGAAGTTCACAGCCCGGTTCCCCTGGCTCAGGCACTTTTCTCTCTTGTCCCATGGCCTGCACGAGAGCCTCTCAGGTGAGGAACCGCACCTGCAGGGAGCATAGACACAGGGGTGAGGGGCTCAGCAGACCCGCATCCACCAGAAGCTCCTGTCTTTCCTTAAAAAGGAGAGTACAGGAAGAGCAGGACTTCCGCCCCCAGCAGAGGTAGAATGGGGTGAGCCAGAGCACACCTTGCTTGGGGAAGATTTGCAACAAGGGGCTCCCACAATTCTCTCCCCACAAAGGGTTTCAGCAGAGAAATGGGAGAATCTGCATCAGAAGGGGGTTTGCACATGAGAGAGAAGCAGGTATCCCCAAGCCACAGAGGAGCAGGCTGCAGGGCAGGGAGGGGCCATACTGGATAGAGCAGCTAGGCCAGCATGTGGTCCGCGGTGGGGTAGGGGGGCCTGAGGCCATCGCTGTAGGTGTCCATAGGGTAGTCCCCATCCATGTCCATGTGCATGTCCAGGGGGTCAAGGGGCACATCGCTTGCGTACATGGGACGGTAGGTGGCATCCATGTCTGGGGATGAGAAGCAGGGCTCATCCAAGTGTCTACAGGCCCCACAGTGGACCTCAGCCACCTCCTCTACCCCTGCCCACTCCCAAGGCACCAACCCCGACCCCAACTCCTGCACCAGGGGTCTAAATTGAAGTGCAGGTGGAGACTACACAGCAGGTCACCATGGTGTCTCCCCGTCACTCCTACCCACATGATCCCCAGGCTCTCCAAGTCTTAAAGAACTCTGTGTACTTACCATCTGCGTAGGGTTCATTGATGGGGATCATACTCTGGGCCTGGGAGAAGGGGAGAGGTATTGAGGAAATATGAAAATGCATATTCTGACTGGGCACTGGTGGCTCACACCTGCAACCCTAGCTACTCAGGAGGCAGAGATCAGGAGAACTGTGGTTCAAGGCCAACCCAGGCAAATAGTTAGGAAGACTCTATCTCAAACATACCCAACACAAAAAAAGGGCTGGTGGAGTAGCTCAAGTGGTAGACCATCTGCCTAGCAAGTGTGAGGACCTGAGTCCAAACCCCAGTACCCCCACCCCCAAAAAACCCAGAAAATGCATACTTTGGGGCCAAGTGTGGTGGTGTGCAACTGTAATCCCAGCACTGCAGGAGGTGGAGGTGGGAGGACCACAATTCAAGTGAGGCCAGTCAGGTAAAAGAGTTAGCAAGACCCTAACTCAAAGAATAAGCTGGGTGTGGTGGCATACACCTGTCATCCCAGCTAGGTGGAAGGCTGAGGTAGGAGGATTGTGATCTGAGGCCAGACCTGGGAAAAAGCAGACCTTATCTGAAAAATAACTAAAGTGAAAAGGGTTGGAGGCGTGGCTCAAGTATAACAGTGCTTATCTAGCAAGTACAAGTGCTAGGCCCTAAGTTCAAACCTTAGTATCATTAAAAAAAAAAAGAAGAAGAAGAAGAAAGAAAAAGTAAAAAGAATGAAAAACAAAATTTACACTCTACACTCTGGGCTGCCTGAGGCAGGTAGGTGCTCCTCAAAGAGGGCCAGAGCAAAGTGGAGACCCCTGGGAGGAAGAGGGTGATAAATTCATATCTTCAGCACTTCCCTATGTGGGGATCTAACCACTCATGCTCCTACAGACCACAGCAGCTCTAGGGAGAGGGGTAGAGGGAAGAGGACTGAAGAATGGGTGTAGGGTACCGGCCCAGGCAGCACCGAGGTACAGTCAGTCTACACAGCACCTGCATGCAAATTAGGAAAAGGCAGCCCTGGGCTGGGGATGTAGCTCAGTGGCATTGTCCCCAGCTACCATGCACAAGGCCATGGCTTCATCTCCAGCATCACAAAAAAAAAAAAAGGAAAGGAAAAGGTAAATGTGTAGTGCTTCCTTCAACCTTTATATCCATTTGGGCAAAATGAAATTACTACTTTTGTAGGTCAAAAACAGATGCATACCTACTACTTCTATGTCATAACTGATGTAATTATAAAATAAAATTCTATGAATTTGACATTGTAGTAGGAGCCTCCCCCAAAGAAGTAGCCTTGTGCAGTGAGCAATTTACACAACTGTACATTGTCATCCAACCCAGGTACTCACAGCCTCCCAGGCAGCTGGGTCATGCTTGAAGAGGGAGTTGGTGAGCTCCACAGACACGCGCTTACGGTAATCTGGGTTCTTGTCCTCAGAGATGCGAAACAGGACAGCGGCGGCATAAGTGGCTAAGCCAAGAGGGAAGTTAAGTCCAATTCAGACACTGCCTCCATCATGGCTGTGGGAATAAGGCTGGCCTCCCCCCTCCCTCCCAGCACAGCCCCCTCACCAGTGCCCTCATTGCGAGAATGGAGCAGCTCCATGAGTGGGGCTGAGGCCCCCTCAGCATCAATGGCGTCAGCCGCCTCCTTGTCCTGGGCCAGCTCGCACAGCACCCCTGCAGCCACACGCTGGATGTTCTCCACGGACGAGTACAGGAGCTGGGAGATGGAACAAGGGCAGGGAACAGGGTGGAGGGGTGAGGCAGGCTGGGCAGCACACCACACAGCTCTGCCCACGCCTTTCCTGGGTTTCCCAGAAAAATATAAAGACAGAACAAAACAAACTAGCCACAATTCCCTACTCAGACACAGCCCCTGTTCACACACTGGCAGAGTTCTAGTGTACCTTTATCACAGTTTGATTATTATAGACTATATATAATTTTGATTCCTGCTTTTTTCTCACTTGCTATGATAGAATTAAGTCTTTTTCTATGTATTATTTTAAAACTTGTCCTAAAAAATCTGAGTTCATCTTGATAAGAGAGAATAAGGATGCTAAAAAGCAAAAAAAAAAACCAAGGAAACTAAACCACTCAATTGGTCGCACTGAAGATAGCAATGGCATTAATCTCTTACTCTGAAAACTGGCAATTAAAAGGAAAGATTTTCCAAAAACAAAAAAATTCTTCATTTTCTTCTCTTTCTCCTCCTCTTCCCTCTGTCCCCTCCCTCTCCTTCAAATTTTTTGGCCATACTGATTTGAACTCTGGGCTGTACTTCAGCCACACCTCCAGTTTCCCCAAATTCTTTTTAATCATCCTCACATATAGTCACAGAATGTAATTTTTAGACCATTTCCCTATCATTAGACATGAAAGGTTTTCTTTTTTTTTTTTTTTTTGTGGTCCTGGGGCTTGAACTCAGGACCTACACCTTGAACCACTCCACCAGCCCTCCCCTGTCTTTTTTGTGATGGTTTTTTTCAAGATAAGGTCTCTCAAACTATTTGCCCTGGCTGGTTTTGAACTGCGATCCTACTGATCTCTGCCTCCTGAATAGCTAGGATTACAGGTGTGAACCACCAGCACCTAGCTGGAAGGATTTTTTAATTTAATTTTTTTTTTTTTTGGGTGCAACTGGGGTTTGAACTCAGGGCTTTGCACTTGGAAAGCAGGCACTCTACCGCTTGAACCACACCTCCAGTCCATTTTGCTCTGGAGATTTTGGAGATTGGGAGGCTTGCAAACTTTACCTGGGGTGGCCTCAAACCAGGATCCTTCTGATCTCAGTCTCCCAAGTAGCTAAGATTACAGTTGTGAGCCACCGGCTCCCAGGATGGAGTTTGTTTTTAACTATTGTAAGCAACATCACACAATTGTTACTTCTGTGCCTACGTCTTTGTCCGTATGATAAGTTATGTGAAATTACTTCATAAGGAAAGAGTGTCAGACTTGAGTTACTTGGTCAAGGGACAAGAGTATTTCTGAGGCTCTCTGTACATTATGGCAAAAGTCACTTCCAGGCTGCTCCTCCCACCAGCAGGGCAGGAGACTGCCTGTTTCATAAACCCTCAATTATCTTCCCTGGCTAATTTGACAGTGGAAAAATGGGCTCTCGCTGCGGGGTAAGTTTCATTTTCTTAAACTCCTGGGGCTGAGCACTATTTGTTTATGGGCCACCTGGGAATCACTTGTCGCCTCTGCCTACATCTCACTACTGGGATCTAGAATTAATGAGCTTTTTATATGAAGGCTATTTAACTCCTGTCTGTTGTGGTACTTGCAATATTTTCCCAGTTTGCTGTTTTCTTTTGTAATGCTTTTTAGGTTTCTTTGGACACACAGATGGTTTTAACACCTACATGGTTGCCAATTTCAACCGATTGTTCATATGTTTGTTGTTTGTGGATCTTACCCTTTGCTATTTAACTCCTCCCAAAAGACTCTTCCAGTTATAGCCTCTGCACTGTCTCAAACCCCATGACTACCCGATCTCGCCCCTGGCTCGTGATGGGGGGAGGCTCTGCTGCCCCTGACCTGAGGGCGACTCACTGGCTCGACAAACAGGGGAATAGTGTTCAGTCGGAAAATCTCCATGCGATTCATGGGTTCCCGTGCGAGAATGTGCAATGCTCCAGTGCAGCCCTCCACGATCTCCTCCATCCTCACACCATCCTAGGAAACAGAAGGCACGGATGTGGCATGGGAACAGGTGGCTCTTGGACAAGGCCATAGCCCCTCCCCCACCATGATGTCCCAACTAACTTCACTAGTCCTTGCAGTTGGCTTCAATTGCACCTCACTTCCTCCTTGACACGTGTACACACTGAGGACACACTGACCCCTAGGAAGTCAGGGAGGGCTGTCGCAGGTACCACCGAGCTCACTTACTGTGTAGGGCTGCTGTGTGCCTGCAGCCACATGGCGCTGGGCATCCTGGTGGGCCCTGACCAGCAGCTGGACAAGGCGGGGAATGACTGCTGCTTCCTGCAGTGGGGCATGGTTGGCTGGGCACAAGGCCAGATTCCGGATCAGGCCAATGGTTGCCTGGCAAGAACAGAGCCATGGGTCAGGAGCATTCCTTGGACATCTGGAGGATCCCAGCTTAACCAGCTTCAGGTATCTTCTCCCTCCCCTGTCATTTCTTCTGTCCTCCCAAACTAGACACAGACACAGCAGAAGATCTCCAGAGAATGAAACTACCCTCATTCCTTATTCCACAGGACCCATGGGTCCTCATGTCTAAAGCCCAAAAGCTGTTACTGAAATAACACCCTATTCCAGAAGGTTTCATTAGCCCTCATGCCCTCATGCCACAGACACCATGGTCTTGCTTGTCCTGATAGCTCCCCGACTCTAATTACCAGGAAGTCTTTGCTATAGTGGACCCTAAAGCCTCCTGGTTGGTAACACTTGTATTATAGTCAATCCTCAGGACAGCTTCAGGATGAGGTTCCCTCCCTAGGGAACTCAAGTCACAGGAGCCACTCTGGCTTCCCAGAGCCCCTCAGGATCTGGCAAGGCAATTTGTCTTCTCATTTGATGCTCAAAACAAGAACCCAGCAGGGTAGGAAATTATGTGAGAGATGAGGAAACAGAGGGTAGATGACATACCCTGGTAACTTATCATTTGTCACCTAGCCACTGAGTCAGGATGCAAATACTGCTCCTACCTTTGGTTTGAAGCAGGGATCAAGTACCAAGAAGGAATCAATCATACTGACATTTTTCTCTCAAAACTATAGTTTTCTTCCTTTCTTTTTTTTTTTTTTTCTGCAGTGCTGGGTATGAAACCCAAGTCTTGTACATGTTAGGTAAGTGCTGTACCCACTGAACCTCTGGTTTTTTGTTGTTGTTGATTTTTGTTTTGGTGGTATTGGGATTTGAACTCATGGCCTCATACTTGCTAGGCAGACACTCTACCACTTGGGACACTGTGCCAGCCCCCATGCCCTTGACTTTTTGAGATTGGATCTCACTATGTAACTCAAGCTGGCCTCAAACATTTTCATCCTCATGTCTCCACCTCCTGAGCACCGGGATTATGGGTGGATACCAACACACCAGGCCTTTCAGATTTTTCTTTTCATTCAATGTATATAATCACTTTGAGTCATTCTTATCTGTTAAACTACCAAAAAGTTAGCTAGTGGAGCCACCTGTACCCGTTGACAAGACTGTTGTATGGTAGCTTCCTCACTCTCTTGAACCAGGTATCACCTTGCCTTGGACTCTCCTTATTTCTACAGACAGACAGATTAAAAATGGACATTTCCTCCATAACTATCCCTTGCCTGCCCAACTCTGGTCTGGACTGCCCTCCCTTCCCCTCCTGGGTGAGGGACATGACAGAAACTTCTACCAGGTAGCCTCTGAGAAGAAGGCCCCACCTGTCACATTCCTGACTCCTACAGCAGAGACTGAGGGGTCCCCCAGAATCCTCTCTTCCCCTTATCATCTTGGTGGCCCTACTGAATTTTAGCAAGACAGGTGGTTGTCTGGCAACCAGCACTTGGGATGCTGAGGCAAGAGGATCAAAAGAGTTCAAGGTGAACCTGGCCTACATAGGAAGAGCCCATCTCAAAAAAAAAGAATTTGGGTCTCTGGAGCAGAGAAAATGTCCTGTTCTACACTGCTCCATGTGAGATAAACAACTTATTTTTTCTTTTGCAGTACTGGGGTTTGAACTCAGGGCTTCATGCTTGCTCTACTGCTTGAACCATGTTTTCAACCTCAAGCTTTTGTAGTATTTGAGCCACTGTAGTTGGGGCCTTTTTGCAATAGCAGCTTTCCCTGTACAAATACAGAGTCAACACTGCACAGGCTGCTCCTTCCCTCACCTAATCCCCATGGTACTGGCAGTGGCAAATTGTTGGTACCTTGACCAGTGGCCACTGGTTGGGCTGGTTAAGCAATTTGACAATGGCTGGGATGCCATAGTTGAGGCGCACAGAGTTTTGGGCCATCTCAGCTTCAGGATGGCGGCTGGTGAGGTGGCGCAGGGCACAAACAGCAGGCTCCGTGATGTCATCCTTGTCACCAGCACGCAGGATGGCATGGATAAGTGCCTCCACACCACTGTTCTGCGTCACCAGCGTCTTGTTCTTGCTGTTGTTACAGGTCAGGTTGGAGAGAGTGCCTGTGGCACAGGTGAGGACATTGACGTCATCCACACTCAGCTGGTTCACCAGGATCTTCAGCACACTCTCCAAGCCCTCCTAGAGGACAGGGGACAGGAAAGCAGGTATAGAGAGCATTGGGGGCACGGGTTCCAGATCCATCCTAACTAGGTCCAAGAGGAAAGGATGGCCTAAAGGGGTCGATCCTGCCTGTAGGTGCCTGGGAACTTTCGTCCCCATGACCTGCCCACACTCTGGGAAAAAATGACACTATCAAGTTAGAGCATGAGGCTCAGAGAGGTTCGGGAACTGTCCCACAGATCCACATTGGTAAGCTGCATCTGAACCCAGGCCTGCCTCTAAGCTTCCTGCTCTGTCTTACCCCATCTGCCTTGCCTCTGGGCCCTTAGACTCAGGCAGAATTCTTCACAGGCCAAGGGTAAGTTGGCCAAGGGAGGCCTCTGGGCCAGGAGGAAATTGCTTCAGAGGCCAGCTGATGTACTGTCACACACTTCTCTCCTTTCTGGGTGTTCACCATCTTCCCCACTCCCAAGAGGTCCCCGAGTAGATTCTGACTCAGAAAAAAATCCCTTATTCAGAAGCGTCACTTCTCCCAGGAAGAACCATGTGGGCCTTGTGGTGAGAGACCATCATCCTGAGTTCAAATGCCAGCTCAGCCATTTACTAGTTGTAACCACTGGCCATTCCTGAACTCCTGAGCTTCGGTTTCTTCATCTAACCAATGGGGTCACATGTCTACCTCCAGGTTGCTGAGAGGATTAAATGAGCGCATGTCTGCAGGAGCCAAGCAAAGTGCCAGGCTATGATGGTTGCTCACTCAACAGCACTGCTGCTATAGGCTGGCTCCTGGGAATGGCAACCTTGAAAGGAGGGGCCAGGGGATTTGTCCTGAAGCTGTATTTTCCCTTCAGTTGGGTTTCTACCCACCATTGGCCCAAAGGTGTCTTATAGCACACCTGCCCAATGGTCCAGGCCAAAACTTTGCCACCCCAGCTTAAAGATGTCAGCCCCTCCTTCTGCCCTTCCCAAATCCCTAATACAGTTAAAGACTCTGGCTAAAGAGATGAGGGTCTTCAGGGGTCTCCATTCTCAGCCATAAGAGAGAAAGATTTCAGACCTAAGTCCTAGCGCCTGAGGTCAGCACCCAGCCAGGAGGCTGGATGAGGCAGCTGAAGATGTTGGCACCAGGTCTGGACTCCTCCCTCACCTGCTTGGTAGCCACATCCGAGAGGTTGCGCAGGGTCCAGAGGCAGTTCTGCACGAGCCGGGGGCTGTTGCTTGTCAGGTGCTTGCCCAGGGCCTGCATCCCACCTAAAGTGGGGGATGGGGGTCTCGTCAGCCACAGGGGAGTACAGTGTCAGCCATGGACAGGGTGCTGGGCAGAGGACCCATCTCGAGTCTCCCAACCACATGGGCCACCTTGAAGCTGTCACACTCACCGGCCTCCACAATGGCAGGCTTATTGCTGGGACACACGGACAGCACCTTGAGCACACGGCTGGTAGTCCAGAGCAGCTTCTCATAGCTATAGTTACGCATGATCTGCACGAGGGCCTGGGGTCCTCCATTGGCCAGGATGATCAGCTACATGGGGGGAGGGGAGGATGAGTGAGACGGGGAGTATGGACGGGGCGGGGTGGGATGGAGCTCTCATTACTACTGAGCTTCCGCCAAATCTTAGAGTAGCTTTTGTAACTCTCATACGAGCCAAGTTTTTTGAAAAAGGATAATAATACCCAACACTGGCAAGGCTGTGGCAAAACTGTACTCAGCCATTTCACAATGACACTGAAAATTAGTAAAATCTTTTTGTAAAGTTATCTGACCATCCGGGTAAAAGCCCAGAAGTGTTAAAAAACAAACAAAAAAAGATCTTTAGCCTCACTGGGTGTGCGGGGCACACCTATTATTCCAGTACTTAGGAGGTGGAGGCAGGAGGACAGTGAGCCAGCCTAGGCTACAGAGTGAGTTCAAGACCAGCTTGGGATACATAGTGAGATTGTATCAAACAACAACAGCAAAAACACCCACTTCAGTCCCACTGATGAAATGCTTTTCCAAGAACAAAAAAAAAGAAATGCTTTTCTACTATGGGAAAAGCTGTGTGCCCAAAGATGTTCATTACAGCATTGCTTATAAAGGGAGAAATTTAAAAAAATAAATAAATAAAGGGAGAAAATTAATAGGACTTAAATGTTCTCGGAAGAAGCATGATGCTTCACTTAGTGAAATGCTACCTACCATTAGAGAGGGATTTCGAGAATATAGCAAAAAGATGCTAAAAACATCAGGTGGAGCGGGGTGCAGGTGGCATACGTCTATAATCCTAGCTACTTGGGAGACTGAGATCGGGAGCATCATGGTTCGAGGCCAGCACAGGCAAATAATTCCTGAGACCCCCATCTCCAAAAACAACCAGAGCTAAATGGACTGGAGGTGTGGCTCAGCAGTAGACCACTTGCTCTGCAAGCATGAAGTCCTGAGTTCAAACCCCACCTGACCCCCAAAAAATCAGGTAGAAAACAGATGCAAATTCACACACTGCTTTGAGTACAACTGGGTAGACATGTTTACAAATATCGCCCAGAACAGCTCTAAAGGAAGTACATCAACATGACAACCTTGACTGTATGAGAGTGATGAGGGATATTCTTTACTTTTCTGTACCTTCAAAGTAATAAGTCTAAACTAGTCAAGATTAAGATGAAACATGTTTATCTGCACACACATATGTCATCTCAAAGCAGTGAGGGGACAGTGAGAAGCCACAGAAGGATGGGTAGTGATCCATGCAGGCTGCAGGCCTCAGCATGGACACCCACCTTGCTTTCCTGGTTGCCATAGGCCAGGAGCTGCAGGCAGTCAGTGGTGATGGCCAGGAACTTGGGGTTATTCTTATTGAGCAGGGGCACCATTTTCTGCAGCCCATCCGCCAGGCGCACCGCCATCTTCGCGCCCTCCTGGTAGAGCAGCAGGTTGTGCAGAGTGGTGATGGCGTAAAACAGGACCGACTCCACAGGGGAGCTGTAGGGTGAGTGGGAACCAGCGTGAGTGAGGTCTCAGGGCCTGGCCTGAATGTGGGCTTGGAAGGAGTTGCTACTTTTCCCAGGAAGTGCACCCCACCCTGAGACTCCCATGGGGATGTCCCTTTGCTAAAATCCCATCATCCCTTAAGCCCAGCCCCACTGTCATGCATGGAGCACACGGCACCTCTGCTTGCCCACTCCTGTTTCTGAGCTGCTACCTAGAGCTAAGCATGTTAATCAGCCCCCTTGACTGCTCTTCCTATAGAGTAATTACCAAGTGCTATGGAGGCCCTGCAAGGGGTCCAATGGGAAGTCAAATCAACACTTCACCCTCAGGTTCCTCCCAGCCTAGTATGGGGATAGCAGGGAAGACAGTCACCGTTAGTGCAAGTCTAGGAAAGATAAAGATTGCAAGGTACCTCAAAACACGGTTCTCTCTGCCAGGAACATTCTTCCCTTCATCTACTCAGACCAAACTCCACTCATCCATCAACCCCTTGCTATTAGCACAATTCTACCTCTGGGCAGCATCAACTCTTCTGCCACAGCCTACACCACACCTGATAATCAGCCTGCTGTTTACATGCCTAGCTCCCTGGCTGGGCTGTGAGCAGTTGAGTACCAGGACAGGTGTGGTTCTGCACCTGGTGCATGGCAAGTGTTTCTGTTTATGAAAGCCCAGGGAAGGGGGGGAGGGGCCCTGGCTCCCACAGTGAGTGAGTAGGGGTGAGTACCTGAGCATGCGGACCAGGGCAGGGATGCCACCTGACTTGAAGATGGCAAGCAGCCCCTCGCGATGGTGGGAGAGGTTGTGCAGGATGCTCGTGGTGCAGCGGGCTGTGTCCAGGTCACTGGTGTTCTGCATGGTGCGCACGACGGCTGCCACCAGCTGGGGCGAACCCATCAGGGCCCGGCGTGATGCCTCCTTCTTTGAAAGCTGGTTCACAATCATGGCCGCCTTAGTCACCACCACCTGGAGTGTTGGGGAAGGGTTGGGGGAAGTGAGCAAATGGCCCAGGTCCTGATGCCACTGACAGGAGGAAACAGGCACCCTTCCACAAAGCTCAGACAAGCTAAGTGAGACAGATGCCTCCTGAACCCACCTCCCCAGCCCTTCCCTGCCCCCAGCCCATCACGGACCGGGTCCTCATCATTGAGCAGTTTGGTGAGCTCGGGCAGAGCTCGGGTAGCCAGCTCAGCATCATCCTGGTAGTTGATAAGATGCACAATGGCCGACTTAAGCAGCTGGGATGGCTCGGCCAGTCGCTGCAGGTTGGTAGTCTGTCCTTCCACCTGGGTGGCCAGTAGCAGTGAGCTGTCCTCGCCTGTCACACCAGGGCACATGGCCTCTCGCACACGCTTGGCTCTGGCTGTTGTGGACATCTGGTACTCCAGGTCACCTAAGGGCAGATGGGACAGGGACTGAACTGAAGGAGGTGGGTGGGGGACTCTGGAGAGCAGGGCAGGCTGTACAGACAGGGTTCTGGGCTGCCTCATGCTCTAACCAAAGCCCCAGTGCACCACTCACTGTTCTACCCCTAACCAGGGACCAGGGGGAGAGGTCAACATTGCCTCTGCTTCTTCATCTGTAAAATGGGGCCTATCTGATCAACATAGAGAATTCTTTCTTTTTTTCTTTTTAGTGCTATTGGGTTTGAACTCAAGGCCTTACTCTTGCCAGGCAGGCACTCTACCACTCCAGCCACACCCGCAGCCTCAGCACAGGGAATTCTTGTAACAATTAAATGTCATCATAGTTGTGACTTGCTCTAAAAAGAAAGAACTCATGTGCCTGGCACCTATCACTGCAAAAATGTTAGTAATGATTATTATTGATAAAAATAGCTAATATTTTTTGAGTACTTGTGGTGTACCTGGCAGTGAGTTAAGTTCTTCTCTTCTATTTTCTCATTTAATCTTACAACTATCTACTAGGCAAGTAGATTATTATCTTCACTTTTTACAGACAAGAAAGCTGGACACAGAGATCATTAGACAGCCAGACTCAGGAGCCCAAAACCATCTCTTTTCCTTCTTTAACCCTCGGGAAGGATATGGGACTAAACACCCTTGAAATCTCATGATTCTAAATATACCCTCACCATCCCCCAAAGTAGCAACTCTCCCACCACACAGACAGGTAAACAGAGGCCCTCCCAGGATCACACAGCAGTTCAGAAAGTAGGAGCTGGGTTCTCAGTGAAGACCCCAGGCTCTATTCCCTGGATTGGCTTGGGAGTCCCACATACAGAGTCCCTATACTCAGGTAGGTAGTTCTACCTGACACCTGTACTGATGCCCACAGGGTGAGGCAGGCAGAGGCTTTACCCTCTCTAAAGTCAGGAAGGAGACATCTACACTGCTTTCCCATCTGGATGCTGTACTTTTAGCTCCCAGTGTAGAACCTGGCCCTGTCAAGCCCAGAAGCTTCTGCCTATGGCCAGCGGGGAGACCCAGGGCTCAGAGGCTGAGCTCTGTAGAGCCCCTGCACCTTCCCCAGGCCCCACAATTCACCTCACTAGAATGCTCAGGACTCTGAATGCACCTGTGGATGAGAGTCCTAGGGTCCCTGTGACCCTGGCAGGGCACCCCCTGTGAGACTAAGCCCAGAACTGACTCAGCCACTCCACACCCCTGCATGTCACCACATTCTGGCCCAGTCTAGGCTTGAGCACTGCACCCTCTCCATCAGACTAGGGGGTTCCTGTCTCTCCCATCAGACACAAGGTTCCTGAAGCAAAAGGGATGTATTTTCTCACAGCCCCAGGTTTCCAGAGGACGGGAGTGAAATCTCCCCACAGAGAGGGGCTGGGAAGGGGAGGGTGGTCTTCAGGTTGATACACCCTGGAGCAGGTTCTATGCCTCCCTTTACACTAAGGGTTCATGCCCCAGATGGGGCACCCAAATGGGTGCCTCGTCCCTTAGACTGGGCAGATCCTTGCGAGCAAGAGCTACACCTCCTGCCTCAGACCATGTGGGTCCCTAAGACTGGCATCTGAGCCTCTGCCCTCAAACCAAGGACCTCCCCCTAAAATCTGCCTGTTTGCTATGCCTCCGACAGGGCACAATTGGGTTTTCTGTCTCATGGAAAAGTCCAAAGGGTCCTGACCTTGGCTCTGAGGCACCCCCTGGGTATAGGTGGTGGTCTTCTTGAGTGTGTACTGCCGCCCACAGGTGTCATCCTCCTCCATGACACCCTTGCTGCTGACCGAGGGCACACAGGTGTTGGCTCCTGAGTGAATGCCTGAGTCGTAGGTGTACGTCTGCTGCCACTCAGTCACCTTGATGGGCTGTTCGATCAAGTTCATCACTTCCATGGCGGCTGCTGGAGGCACAAGGAGGGGCCAGACATCAGCTTGTGGAAGGGTACCCCAACACCTGGCCCCACCCCAGTTCAGCCCCAGCCCCAAGGGCCTCAGGGGGCTGTGGAGGGCAGGGTGGGGGTAGTTTGGAAGGACACCAGGTCCAGGAAGGGGCTGACCATAAGAAGATTCCCTGAGACCAGTAGAAGCACAGTGGGTAGGATACCTATGAGCTTGTATCTCTGACTTCTGGCCCAGAGTGAGGGCAGGAAGGGGCCAGGTGTCCTGCCCAGCCCTGGCTCACTCAGCTGGCTACCTGGACCCAAGACTTTCAGAGGCAGGAGAAGGTAGTCAGGGACTCCAGCATATTCTGGGGCCCCACAGACCCACTCTCACCCCACTGGGGCTCCCTGGGAAAGGCTGCGGAGGCGAGACTAGGCGAGCAAAGGCAAGGAGGCAGCAGCACCCAGCCATGGGCAGGAAACTGGGTGGGGCAGGGAAGCGGTCAGACAGGTTTCTCTGGGGTGCCCCAGGCTCCATCAGGGTTCCAGGATCTCACTTTCCTGCAGGTCTGGCAGGATCAGTCTCTCCTCTCCCCCAGTTCCAGGGCTCTGAAGCTTTCCCAGCATTCTGAGTGCCACAGACCAATTCAAATCTCAGCTACTTACTCCAGAGCCAATTCACCTCCCTGTTGGGCCTCAGCACCCTCATCTGTAAAATCGGGTTCCACCACCTCCCTCGCAGGTGGTTGTGAGAGCTATCTGCAAAGACCCCAGCATGGCATTGGCATACAGTAGGTGCTCAGTATTGGAGAACACAGCATCACCACCAGAGGTGCCATCTCAGCTCCCCATCTCCTGGAACCCAGATTAAGGGTACAGAGTGGGACAGACCTCTGGGCCTCTAGGGTGTTCGCTGCTGTTCAGGAACCCCGCCCTCCTCTGCAGAGACTTGAGGCACCTAAACGTTAATTAATGAGCACCTGGGCCCTACTTAGAAGCAGGGATGTGAACTTCCCCTTTGGCCAGTTTTGGCTCCATTCTTTTGGGAACTGACCTCCGGAGGTGGGTGGCTGGAGGGAGAGACACAATGCAAGCTGTGAGGGCTTATTATGTGCCAGACTTCTCAAAAATGCTGTTATCCTCAAGTGGGCTTTAAGGTTCCCCTATTTACAGATGTGGAAACTGAGGCTAGAACTGACCAAAAAAAAAAAGGGATCAGGCACAGGCGTACATGACAATAAAGTCCATATGGACTATCCCAGTGGAGTTGCAGAAAGCAAGCAGACCCTAGGCTGGTCCACCCATGAAGCAGGGTGGCATTTCGCATCTCAAACCAGTTGTCCTTCTCTGATGGGGGAACCATGAGAACAAGGGTGGGGCAGCTGGTGCAATGTGGCCCCACCCCACGAACAAAAACCACCAGAGACATCTTCCCAGTGACAGCTCCAGTGCCGCCCTCAACGAGCATGATGACATCCGGGTGTGGGAGTTCATACCTATAATCCCAGCTACTCAGGAGGCTGAGGCAGGATTGCGAGTTCAAGATCAGACTGGGCTACATAAAGAAACTCCATCTTAAAAAAAAAAAAACCACCACCAGTATGATGAAGAATTCTTCAGGTCTCAATGCCTTTTATGGTGGCACACAGCCCCTCCCTAGCCATGAACACACCTGGAACAGGCAGAGGCAGGAGCCAGACCAGCTCCCAGCTGCCTCCTTCCTCTCCTCCCGCCACCAGGAGTGACTCAGAGTTTCGGGCTGATAAACAGAGCAGGCCCAGTACACCAGACAGCAGGCTCAGTGCCACCAGATGCGTGCAGCTGCTCTCAGACATTTGCCAAGTGTAGCTATTTCAGGAGGTGCCCCCCGCCCCCGCCCTTCCCATGTCCCCATCCCCGGCAGCTGAGAAGGACCAGTGGCAGGAAACCAGGGACTTAGAGAAAGCAAACTCAGGAAAATCCTGCCCGGGACTACTTCTGCCTCCTCCATCCTGACTTCTGCCCCAAAGGTGGGTCCCAAGAGAGAACTGAGTTTAGGAGGAGCTGGGGCCACAGAAGCTGCCCCCTGGTGTGGGGAACTGGATACCCAAGCACTTGAGAAGATGAAGAAGCATACCACTCTGCTATGTGGAAGGTTGAGCTGACATCCGGACGCCGAGCCTTGGTCAGCTGGGCTCAGGGTTAAGCAGGGCGTCTCCAATTCTGGTCAACACAAATAGCCTAGCCTGCTCAGAAAAGAACTCCCTTCATAGAGGCAGATGCCAAATCTGGGGCCAAGCCAGAGAGGAGAGGGCTCACCCCAAACCACAAGGACCACCGTGGTCAAGGCTGGTTAAGGTAGAGGAGTTTCCTCGCAGGCACCTAACCACTCCCAGCTCAGGGGCTGAGGGAACTTGAGCACTGGACAGCTGCCCAGGGCGAGGCAGAGGTCAAAGGCTATCAGGGGGCAGGCATCCAGTTGCCTTTAATACCCCATGAATTTCAACCTTGCTGGCAGGCCTTTTATTATCCTCTACTTTTTTTTTTTTTTTGGCAGTACTGGGGTTTGAACTCAGGACTTTGCACTTGCTAGGCAAACACTCTTATTATTTGCAGTTTCTAAATGGGGGAACTGAGGCTCCACATTAAGGAAATGGCTCTCTGCCAGTTCTACCTCACTGCAGGACCAATGTTTAGTACACCGTTCAAGATGGGGTGGGCTGGGGGGCGTGACTCAAGTGGTAGAGCATTCGCCTAGCAAGCAAGCAAAAGGGAGGAAGAACACCAAGCTTCATTTCAGGGGCCAGGCACTGGTGGCTTACTCCTGTAATCCTAGCTACTCCAGAGGCCAAGACCAGGAGGATTGAGGTTCAAGGCTGGCCCAGGTAAATATTTGGTGAGACCCTATCTTGAAAATACCCAACAATTCATATTATAAGAACCTTTGTAAAAAAACCCAGCACATCAATAAAATAACTGTACAAATTAACAAACTATTAAAAAAAAAAAAATACCCAACAACACAAAAAAGGGCTGGCAGAGTGGCTCAAGTGGTAGAGTGCCTGCCTAGCAAGTGTGAGGCCCTGAGTTCAAGTCTCAGTACACCACTACCACCAAAAAATCATCTAGTCTAGCCTACTTCACCACACACCCGCTGGGGGTCTTTGGGCAATTTCTTTCCCTCTCTGGGCTTTGTCTGGCCAAGGAGACCTCAAAGGAATACAGATGTCTCAGATTCTAGGAATAAGGGACCAGGATTCCCATGACAGACAAGAGAAGGCTGAGAGTGAGTGAGGTCAGAGTTGGAAAGTAGTTCAGAAAGGAGACATGCCTCAGAACTCTTCCTAAGCCAGGTGTTGGTAGCTCACACCTGTAATCCTAACTCTGAGAGACTGATGTCAGGAGGATCGAGGTTCAAGAAAGCCCAGGCAAATAATTCACTAGCCCACCCCCCCATCTCCAAAATAAGCAAAGCAAAATGGACTGGAGGTGTGAGTCAAACGGTAGAGCACCTGCTTTGCAAGTGTGAAGCCCCGAATTCATATACTAGTCCTATCAATCAATCCATCAATAATTAAATAAAAGAACTCTTTCTTAAAAAAAAAGGATCACTAGGACATCTGTTCTTGCAACAGGAAGGCTGGAAGTGAGACCACAGGCATGACTGCCATCCAGCCCCACCTTTCTCCCTATGCACTCCTCAGGAGAACTTAGGAAATTCTCCCACAAGAAACAAAAGTACAGGTTTGGCCATTCCCAGAGTGGAGGGGCCACACCCAGTTTGGTGTCCTTGTTCTCCACCCTGGAGTCAGACTTTCCACAATGTTCCAGGACAGAACCAAGGTGGAAGCAGAAGGGACAGTGGGGGAGGAGGTGGAGGTGCCCATGAACCAGGGCCAGAGATGGGCAAAGGCAGAGACAGGGCAGTTTCTGAGTTGAATGGGGGCCCTTTGTTTAGCAGCGTGCTCCATTGCTGGTAGCAAGGGAGGGAGAAGCCAGCTCAGAAGTCCTAGGGTGGAGTAGGAGACATCTGAAGGACAGGAAGAGAGAGATGGAGTATGTAAAGGACCCTTCCCCCGCCTGGTTCAGACTGGGTAAAACCCTGAGAGTAATGAGGACACTGGGGTGCACCCCGGCTTCATTCCCGTTCTTCCTCTGCACAGACCACTGCAGAGCTGGCACCGGATACCCTTAACCCAAGACTGTCCTGCAGAGTGTGACCTAGCCTTGACTTTAAAAAAAATAACCCCACCAGGTTGGGACCATGGCTCAAGTGGTAGAGCGCATGCCTAGTGTGAGGCCTTGAGTTTAAAAGAACTACCTCCAAAAAGATAAAATAAAATAATAATAATAATCCCACCAGGAAGGCAGAGATGAGAGATGACAGGACTGTGGCCCAAGGCCAGCCAGGGCAAAAAAAGTCAGCAAGACCCTATCTCAAAAAAAAAAAAAGGGGGCTGGTGGAGTGGCTCAAGTGGTAGAGCTCCTGTCTAGCAAGTATAAAGCCTTGAGTTTGAACCCCAGTATTGCTAAAACAACAACAAAAAACTAACAACAACAATAAGAAAAAAAAAGCAGAATGTGCTGGTAACTTCCTGTAATCCTCATTAGGGAGGAGGCAAAGGTAGGAGGATTATGTTACCCAAGGAGCAAAAAGTATGACACCCTATTCTGAAAAATCTAAAATAAAAGTGAAATAATCTCACTGGAGTGGCATCAGCCTCTCGCTCTAGTCAGCACCTGCCAGGGACAGGCACATCTAGGTTGGACTGCCAAGAGTCAACAAGACACCAGAAACAAGGACAGCGATAGGCTGTGCTAGGTTCAGGCCCAGAAACAATGTATTTGGAGACTGGACAGGCAGGGCAGAGCTGGGCCCCCAGAGGTGCCTTGGGCCACAGGCCAGAACCCTGTGAAGACCCAGATCCACAAGCTCAATGACAGAAGGGAGCAGTGGGCAAGGCCAGACAGCAGGGCATTTTAAGGCAGGAGAGTGGCTCCATCTGGTCTCCCTCAGTGGCTTTGGGTAAGTTAAATCATCTCCTTAGCCTTTTTTTTTCCTCACCTGTAAAATGGAACCACCAGGCTACTCTTTTTCAGTTGTAAACTGAATACAACTGTGACTCTGGAAGCCGTCTGTGGACAGGAAACCACCCTCCCCTCCACACCCCCACCCTTCAATTTTTCTTGAATTAGAGAAACAGATGGCTGAAATGTGCTGGGCAAAGCAGCTGGCAGCCTGCCTGCCTCTTATGACCCTGGACTCAGGACAAGACCCAGCTTTCCTTTGACCCCTCAGATCAGGAATAGGAGGGGAGCTGTCTCCCAGGCATAAGGCAGAGTCCCTGCGGACCATGGGTGAAAAATGGCTGGAAGGAATTACATCCAGTCCTGGGCAGGCAGAGGGGCTTTGCCCTGGCCAGGAAGAGACATTGAGCTGGCCCTCCACATTACACACTGCCTCCTGCAGCCAGAAGTAGTGGACCAGTAAGGCCAGGGCATTCCTTGTATAGCAGCCCCTCCCCTGGAAAGCAGGCCCTGCAGGGTCACCCAGCTCAGCTGTGGGCAGTAGTCCCAAGAAAGATACAAACAAACTCTAGCACAGTATGGAGAGACAGAGCCTTGTCTTGGGGCTTCCCCAGGAGGCCTCTCCCCTCAGGCTGGTGGCTCCAAGAGAGGGACCCCCCCCCCACCTTCCCACCACAGCCAAAAGGTTCCTGGGCAGACACTGTGCTCTCTATCAGTCACTCACAGAGGGGAAAGACTGGATCCGGCACCATGCCTGGCCACGCTGGCCAAACTGGGGACAGGAGAAGACGGGAAGCTTCCGGAGGAAAACCCTCACTTCCAGTCTGGAGGAGAGCCCGGCTGCCGCTGAGGACTAGCTGGGGATGGGGGAGGCTCAGGCCAGCGACCCAGCTGCTGTTTGTTCTCCTCCTTCTGGGCTGCTTCCCAAAGCAAACAGACCGGGGTGGGAAAATGAAGGGGATTTGTAGGAGAAGAACATGCCCCAGCCAAGTGGCAAGACCTTGGGATTCTCAGCACTCCTCTATGGAGGTCTCCTGCTGAAGCTGCCTTCCAGCTGGAGACCTTGTGCAGGCAACATCCCAAATCTGCAGATGAGCCCAAACAGGGACTCCTAGGAATGGAAAAAAACTCTAGCCACATCAGGAACAACAGCAGTCAGCCGACATGCATTGGTGATGGAACTCAGAGGAAAGTACTCCCAGTGCGCTGCCCCCAGCCACCACAGTGAAGACTGAGCAGCCTGCTCCCTGGGCAGCCCACTCCTCAATGACAGCAGCTGGATCCCAGCCAATATTCCCTCCTTAGGGTGTGAGCCTGCAGGGATAGTGGCTAGGCCTTCTCCTGGAAGAGCAGAGGGCACCCAGGGGCCTAGCTGAAGACAGCCAGGTTTTGGAAGACTTCATTAAAATACCCGTGGTAAAGGCAAGATGGACCCAGCACAAGGCCATGGGTTCTACCCCCAGCACCGGAAAAAGAAAAAACAACTCATTGTGGTATACAGAGCTCACTCTCATCCAATGGAGGCAAAGAGCAAAAGGACCCTAAGGAAAGAGAAGGGGAAGAAATGCTCGTGGTAGTTGCTTCCCAAAGTTGGAAAACAGATGACTTTTTTGCTTCTCTCAAACTTTTCTAAATTTCTCAATTTTTTTTTTCTTTTCTTTTAGTACTGGGGTTTGAACTCAGGGCTTACACCTTGAACCACTACATCAGCCCTTATTTTTGTGAAGGGTTTTTCTGAGATAGGGTCTTGAGGAAATAGTTCCTCAAGACTGGCTTTGAACCACAATCCTCCGGGCTGGCTTTGAACCACAATCCTCCTATCTCTGCCTACCGAGTAACTTGTATTACAGGCGTGAGCCACTGGCGCCTAGCTAAACTTCTCAATTTTTTTTTTTTTTACGATGATTAGATATGCAACTTTTTCAGTTAAGGGAGGGGGAGTCACTCCCAAAGAGGCAGCTTGTTGACTGCTCTGTCCCATTTTGGCCCTCTCTCCCTGCCACTACTAAGAGACAAGACTCTATCTCCAACATGAGGAAAGACAGAGAAAGCTGAGCTTCCCAACCCGAGATCCCAAAGGCTGAGATGCCAGGAGGCTGAGCACGGGGAGTGGTCAGAGAGCTTCTTCCTCAGACCTGGCCCTGGAAGTTGCTGGAAAATGGGGCAGTCTAGTCCCCAGACCTCCATCAGATTGAACCAGGTCCCAGGAAAGAAGCCTCAGGGTGTCACTTGCCAGAACACTAACCCCAGTACCTGTTCCAGCCATTCCCACTACTTTATCTCTTCATAGGGTCATTGGGACAGTCTGCTCACAGATGCCTGTCCCCATTATGGCCTTGTGGTTTTTCTCCCAAAAGACACAGACAAAGAGTTCCTCCAGGGACTCACCCAAGGGAGCCCTCCCTTCTAGGTAAGATGGCCCTCCTCAGAGAAGACAACTACAAACCTCTACCTCGCCTATCTTCTTCAGTCAAGATCACCTCTCTAAGGGACAGAAAGTCTTTCTTCCTGTCTAGCCTCAATTCCTTCCATAAGATCCACTTGTTCCTGAGCCCTTGGGGGTGATGGAAAGCTTCAAGCCCATAGGGCCTGCAGAGCAGTCAGCTGAGCTGAGTTCATTCTCTCTCCTCTTACATCAGAGCCCTTGACCTGCTCTTCTCCAGGATCAACAATCCCTGTGCTGGGGTCCCCTCCTGCCCTCAAGGGATGCAGACTGAAGGGAAGAGGCTGCAACAGTACATATGCAGAATCCATTCCCAGACCCCAAAACCAGGCCTTAAGGTGTCAGGTGCCCAGTTGGCAGAGGGACCAGAACCAGGCAGGTTTGAGGAGACAATGTGTCACCAGCTCCTCCCACTACAGCCAAGGCTCTGGCTGACAGACAGCACCCAAGACCCCTACCCATCACCAGCAAGGCCCTCCCACTGCAGCCTACAATGGCTCCCAGGCCTCCTGGCTTCCAAACACAAGACAGTTCCCTCCAAAAGCAGCCTGGCAGCGCTCATTAGCACAATTCAGCAAGACATGCACCTAAATCTGACTCTCATTTCTTTCCACTTCCCAGGGAGCAGACCCCTTCATCTTGGCACAGCAAAGCAGGCAATTCCCAGTTTCAATATACAGGAGTGAGCACAGAAAGCTGGGGTCCTGCCAAGCACAAGCCAGTGGGCAGTATAGCTTTGACCTCTGCTCTCCATCCTTCCCATCTCCCCTACAGCCAACCCAGGTCCTGGCCTTGGAGAGCCCTCTCTCCGACAGCCACTGAGGTTTCACAGTGCTGGTGGCTAGGACATGAGTCACCCCCATCTGACAAACCTATCCCCGTCTTCACAGCCCACATAAACCTTATAGGGCCTTTCTGAATTTTCTTTTTCTCAGTGGAGCAGAGACTCTCAAGAAAGAGCAAAGAAAACTTTCTTCTAAGTTTAGGGATATAGCTTAGTGGTAGAGAGCTTGCATAGCACAAGCAATGCCCTGGGTTTGATCCCCAGCACTACAAAAAAAAAAAAAAAAAAGAAAAGAAAGAATCCTTCTAGAGCCACAGGGAGACCATACGGCAGGATGGCAGGAGGGGCTCTGGGCCTGGAGCCAGAAGACCAAATGCCAGTTTTGGCTCTGCTTGGATCACGCTGTGCTGCCTTGCACAAGTTACTTAACTTCCCTGAGTTTCAAATTCCTCATCTGTAGAATGGAATTAATGGCACCTGCTTCCATGATTAAGCGAGAACAGTGATGAGAGTGCTTGGTACCCATGAAGTCTTCTAAGTTACCACTGATCATCCTTGCTGGGGAGGTAGGTTTTATTATACCCATTTTCCAAAGAGGTTACTGAGGCTCCAAGTGGAGAAGTTGCTTTGACCAAGGCTATTCAGGTAGTGAAGCACCGCACTGGGACTCAATGCAGCTCAGTCCCAGCCCTAATCCTTGCACTGAGAACTGTTCCACCATACCATCTCTCCAGATAAACTGCCCTTCTGTGGACTAACCAATTGTGCCACCTCATTCTAAGGTAGCTCCTAGTAGGAAGACACCTCCTTCTCATGTGCCACCCCATGGGCCCCCAGAAAGGGAAAAGACTGCCAGCCCCAGCCTGACCGTCTGAATCCCCCACACTGCATTTTCCAAGCTCAGCTCTGGCAGCCCAAACAGAGGCTCCAAAGGGAATGGGGTGGAGCTGAGTGCGGGGGAGGGTGCCTGTCACCCAAGCTGGGGCTTGATCTGGCAAGAAATGACTAATCGGATCCTACCTTCCCTTCCCCCTCCCTCCCGGCCAGTCAGAAGCCAGTTTTCACCCGGCACCTCCTAGCCATACTTCCTCAATATTATCTTTTCATCACAGCCACAAACCAGATTAGCTAAACTAATCATTTAGCCAACGTAATTTCAATGCCTTCCCCTCCTCCACCTTGGCAGAGAGAAGAGGGAAACTAGATTGTTTGGGCCCAAACCCTATGTCCCTACAGCTCCCTGGAGGTGCACATAAGCAATCTCCCACCCCCAGAGTTGAGCCTGGTCCCCAACTAGGACACTCCGAGGGGGTGGGTCTGTCCCTGGCTCCCACTCTCCTCTCTACAACCAAGAAAGCAGCAGTAGAGTCTTCCCAAGTGAGTCAGGGCAAGCAGTGCTGATCCCCACCCCCCCACCCTCCAGGACTGAGGGAGAGTCCAGCTCTTACATTCCTTCTCCGTCCCCCAAGGAGGCTGGGCTCCAAATCCCTGCAAAAAGACCACACTTCAATTTAAAAAAAAAAAACCAGTGTAGCAAGGCCGGTCAAAACTCCCAATTCCAGTCACACTGGGGCTAAGGAGAGAGCCAAAGAAGCTCTCTGCCTAAGGGCATCTGGCATGAAAGAAACCTTCTTCCAAAAAGTCTTCCTCCAGCCCCACTTTCCCCACCAAACGTTCAGGAAAGAGGTGGGTGGAGAAGGGACTGCAAAGCATCCAGAAAGACTCATACCTTCATAATCCAGAAATCAAATGGAAAGCAAGCCCCAGTGGGCCAGCTCTCTTGCCTCAATTGCCAACCAGCTAAGTAATGTGGGGGATGGGATAGAGGAAAAACAAAACCAAACCAAAAAAAACCCAAGAACAATCACCCCCACACCTCAGTTTGGCCCAGCCCTGCCCCACCTCCATTCCTAGGGACGGGGCAGAGCCTGGGAGAGAGAGAGCCATTTAGGCAGACCTCATCCGAGGGGGTGTGGTGGTCCCCGAAGGCAGGAAGAGAAGGAAGAAGCCGCTTCCCCTCTCCATCACCGCCCCCCGCCATGGTCCCCACCTCGGGCCCCAGGGGCCCAGCAAACAGGATGGAGGTGGGGGCAGGGAGGACAGGGTCAGAGCGCAGGCACTGGCCCACGGTCAGCCTAAGGCCGGCTGGGGGAGGGGGCTTTCCTCCCAGAAGGACCCTAAGCCAGGAGAAAGCTCTGAGCAAGGAGACAGGAAAACCCCCACGGACAGCTGTGGTGGCTACTTCCTCCTAGAAAGTTTGTTTGGATGATTTTTCAACAATAAGAGGTTAGAGAAAAGGGTATTGCTGTTCCCATATCAACACTCCAGAAGCCACAGCTATTGGGAACTGGGCGAGGTGACCCTGAATTCTCTCTACCCATGCACAGAACCCACAAGTGCCGGACACCAGTGGGGCACTGAGGCGGGCCCTACACCAGCTCCTCTGTCACTTCATCCCACCTCCACTGAAGGAACCAAAGCCCGGCACCCACCGGAGCGAAGGGAGGCGCCACAGGTACTGCACGGCTGAACCTCCCCGAGCTAGAGGGCAGGGCCTCCATCCTCAGGCGCTCACCTGCTCACAGGTGGGGTCCGTGTCCCTGGGAAAATGTGCGCTCGGCCCCCACAGTTGGGCAAGCTGGGCGCAGACAATAGGGCCCCACCCAGGCCTGGGGGAGTAGGGAGGGAGAGAAAGCA